ACGCCCCCCCACCCACCTGTCCCCAAGCCCCCCCCCTGCTCCTCCCCCCCCCCCCACCCCCACCCCCCTTCCCCACAATCACAGTCGTTCATTGACCGCGGCGAGCTGGTGCCCGACGCTCTGGTCCTGGACGCCCTGCTCAACGCGGTGGCTGAACCCGGAGATCAACGACGGTGCGGGGTTGGTCATCGACGGCTTCCCGCGCACCGCGCTGCAGGTGGACTTTGTCAAGCTGCTGCACGACCGCCTGCTGGCGCTGAGCGGGCGCCACGCGGACACGGCCGAGGCCTGGCGCTTCCCCCGCCCCTCCTTCAAGGTGGTCATCCTGTACGTGGACGAGGCGGAGTCGATGCGGCGCCAGATGCGGCGCGCGCAGATCGCGGACCTGCACAACAAGCGCGTGGCCGACGCGGGGACGGGCGAGGTCTGGGACGTGCGCACCACTGACATCAACGAGCAGCTGTGCCGCAGGCGCTACCAGGTGCGGGAGGAGTTGGTTGGGTGTGTGGGTTGGTTGGGGGTGGCAGGGCAGGCGTAATCGCACTGTTAAGAGGCGGGTGTGAAGTGGTGCGCGACTTCCTCGGATGGAACCTGCCTGTGTGCATGCCGCAGGCATACACCGCAGAGCTCTGGCCAGGTGCTCCTCGCCCGGGTATCGGACCTAGAAAGTGAGAGGCCCCTGCAGAGCACTCCCCATATGCTGCCTCCTCCATCCACCCCTCCTCTCCATCTCTCCCCACACATCCAGGTGTTCAAGATGCACTACCAGACCATCCTGCGGCTGAAGCAGTTCTTCCCCTTCTCGCTGATCGACGCCATGGGCACGCCCGAGGAGTGCCGCCAGCAGATCATGCGCGAGCTGCGGTACCAATCCTCGCTGGACCTGGATGCGGCGACCTATGGCGCCATCCGGCACCTGCCCCTGGCCCGCGATCTGGTGCGTGTCGCTCGCCAGCGCCTCGTCTTCCGCCTCGACTCCTACGCCAAGCGCGCCGCGGAGACGTTCGGCGCCGTCATCGGCCTGATCGAGGCGGAGCTCATCCCGCTGCTGAAGACCTGCAGCCTGGCGGGGCACGCGGTGTACCGCTCCCGCTCCCCCGTCCTGCTGGGCGACGCGCGCGCGGTGGACATGATGATAGACATCCTGTCGGACCGCGGCTTCTCGGTGGCGCACTCGGAGGAGGAGCGCGTGGTCCCCCTGCGCGTCGACCTGGGCAGCGGGGAGATCGAGAGCCGGGCAGAAATCGTGCACGTGTT